GTTTGTGGTGTGTGTGTGTGTGTGTGTGTGTGTCTGTGGTGTGTGTGTCTGTGTGTGTGGGTCTGTGTGTGTGAGTTAGGACATCAGCAGGACAGGGGCGGTGAGTGGGAAGAACGCAGCACCCAGCCAGCCGGCCTGCTCACTTGCTCATGGCTCCTTTCTCCTCCATTCCCACCCTCGCCCAGACCTACCTTCTCCCGAGACTGTGCTTCCCCAGGAGTGGAGCTCGGTGGAGGAAGATGATGAGTCCGAGGACTCCCAGGTGAGCTGGGGATTCCTTCCTCTTTTGATGAGACCCCTCTCTGCAGTTCTCAGTGGACTGTCAGTCCCTTCCTCAGCCTGAAATTTCCCTGCCCCACAAAAGTCTGTCTGGGGATGTGAGCCCCACGAGTCTCTGGTGGGAAACAGGACATGTTCTGTAGCAGTCAGACATGGAGTGGAGGGTATCGGGTGGTGGATATAACTCCATCCATGTATACCCTCCAACCCTTCACTCATAAATGCTTCATGAATTAACCATTCATTCATCTGTCCTCTCATTCACTCAAGCTTTCATCTGCCTACTCATCCATATACCCATTCTATCCATCCACCCATCACCCGTTCATCCATCCATCCATCCATTATCCACCCATGGATGGATAATCCACCCATTCATTCAGCCATCCATCCATCAGTCATCCATCCATCCATCCAACATCATCCAACCATCCGTCACTCATTCATCCATCTAGCCATCCATTATCCACCCATTTGTCCATCATCCACCCATCCATCACCCATTCATTCATCCATCCATCCATTATCCATCCATCCATCATAATCCATCCAGGCATCATAATCCATCCAGCCATCATAATCCATCCAGCTATCATTCATCCACCCATGCATCCATCCGAGGCCATTCATCCACTTCTGTATCCATCCATCAACTCTCCCATCCACTCACCCTTCTACCAATCCATTCATCCATCCACCCATTGAACACCCAGCCTCCATTCATTTGTCTTCTGATTCATTCACCCAGCCTTTCATTTGCTTGCTCATTCACACACACGTTCCATCAATCCATATATGCAGTTATCTGTGTGCCCACTCATCCCCATCATCCATATGCAATCACTCCATCCATCCAACCCACCCACTCACCCATCCTTCTATCCACGCATCTGTCTACTCACCCATTCATTCATCTACTACTTGTTGACTGTTGGAAGGATGTGCCTTCCTTCATCCACCCCTTTGCCTACTCATCCATGCACCCCTCCATCCACTAATTACCTGCTGTGTTTTAATCCAAGTACTCTGAATAAAACCAAAAAGAACGATCGAGCATTCCTTTCATTGGAAGACCTAATGTGTTCTTTGTGGGGGCATAAGACATCAAAATGTGAAATAATAACAGTGGTTCTTTTATTTATGTATTTATTTTATATATTAGAAAGAAAGCGTATAATCACTCTTGGCAACATGTGAGGATCCCATCTGCCAATCAGATATCAGAAATCCAACTTGGACTGGCTCAAGCCAGAAAAAGGCTTTGTTGACATAAGGTGGGAGGAGGCAAGCTGGACAACCAACCTTGGTAGTATAGAAATAAGTGCTGGCTCCCAGTGGGTCGGCTCAAGGGAAGAAGAAAGTAATTCTGTGGGCCAGGAGATCTATCCTTTCTTAAAAGTATTTAGTTAGTCGTGCCAGGTCTTAGCTGCGGCATATGGGATCTAGTTCCTCGACCAACGATTGAACCGGGGCCCCCAGCATTGGGAGCTCAGAATCTTAGCCACTCAACCACCAGGGAAGTCCCAGGGGGCTTATTCTTGAATATCCGAGAGGAAGCGACACCACACCTGTGAGTTTGTTTTGTTTGTTTGTTTTTCAAGCTTTAAACTTTTCATTTTGTACTAGTATTTATTTTATATATTAGAAAGAAAGCGTATAATCACTCTTGGCAACATGTGAGGATCCCATCTGCCAATCAGATATCAGAAATCCAACTTGGACTGGCTCAAGCCAGAAAAAGGCTTTGTTGACATAAGGTGGGAGGAGGCAAGCTGGACAACCAACCTTGGTAGTATAGAAATAAGTGCTGGCTCCCAGTGGGTCGGCTCAAGGGAAGAAGAAAGTAATTCTGTGGGCCAGGAGATCTATCCTTTCTTAAAACTGTTTAGTTAGTCGTGCCAGGTCTTAGCTGAGGCATATGGGATCTAGTTCCTCGACCAAGGATTGAACCGGGGCCCCCAGCATTGGGAGCTCAGAATCTTAGCCACTCAACCACCAGGGAAGTCCCAGGGGGCTTATTCTTGAATATCCGAGAGGAAGCGACACCACACCTGTGAGTTTGTTTTGTTTGTTTGTTTTTCAAGCTTTAAACTTTTCATTTTGTACTAAGGTATAGCTGATCAACAGTGTGATAGTGGTTTCAGGTGACCAGCAGAGGGACTCAGCCATCCGTGTACACGTATCCACTCTCCCCCGAACCTCCCATCCAGGCTGCCACACGGCATTGAGCAGAGTTCCCTGTGCTGGGCAGCAGGCCCTTGTTGCTTATCCATTTTGAATGTAGCAGTGTGTGCATGTCCATCCCAAACTCCCTAACTGTCCCTTCCCCTCCAGGAACCATAAGTTCATTCTCCAAGTCTGTGAATCCCTTTCTGTTTTGTCAGTAAGTTCATTTGTATCGTTTATTCTTTTTTTTTTTTTTTTAACAATCATGAGCTGTTTATTTTCTTTGTAGATTCCACATATAAGGCACGTGAAACGCTATATCTCCTTCTCTGTCTGACTTACTTCACTCAGTATGACATTCTGTAGGTCTATCCACATTGCTGCAAATGTCATTATTTCATTCTTTTTAATGGCTGAGTAATATTCCATGGTGTCTATGGACCACATCCTCATTAAGCATTCCTCTCTCAATGGACATCGAGGTTGCTTCCATGTCTTGGCTATTGTAAACAGTGCTGCAATGAACACTGGGGTGCATGAATCCTTTCGGATCATGTTTTTCTCTGGATATATGACACCTGGGATTTTAGAGATTAGTAACTCCCCAGGCAGAGCAGGGCAGGGGGCAGAGACACAGAGGCATGATGCAGTAGGGCACATTTGGGGGAATGCTGGAGTTGAAGGGGTAGCCAGGGCTGCGATGAGGTCATTCATTCAGTCCACAGCTGTTTATTGTGCACCTACTGTGTGCCAGGCAGTGTTCAAAGCGGTGAGGTTCAACAGTGAGCAGGATACCGATGGCCCCCACTTTCAGGGGCTCACAGTCAGCCGGGTAGACAGAATAAGGTGCTAAACGATACTTCGTGTTGTTTAGTCTGTAAGTCCTGTCCAACTCTTTGCATCCTCATGGACCGTAGCCCACCAGTTTGTTCTATCAACGGGATTCTCCAGGCAAGAATACTGGAGTGGGTTGCCATGTCCTCCTCCAGGGGATCTTCCAGATCCAGGGATCAAACCCACATCTCCTGAGTCTCATGCATTGCACATGGAATCTTTACCCACTGAGCCGCCTGAGAAGCCCCATGATTCTAAGCAGTTCCTGTTATTTAACTTGTTTTTATTTTATCAGTTTTTGTTTTTCCTTTTTAAATTTTTATAGGAATATAATTGATTTACAATGTGTTAGTTTCCAGTGTATAGCAGAGTGATTCAGCTGTACATAAATATATATTCTTTTTCAGATTCTTTTCCATTATAAATTATTACAAGATGTTGAATATAGTTCCCTGTGCTATAATTTGCAAAGATTTTTCTTTTGAACCATTTATTTTGTATTGGGATATAGCCAGTTAACAATGTTGTGACAGTTTCAGGTGAACACGAAGGGACTCAACCACAGGTATACATGTATCCATTCTCCCCCCAGCTCCCCTCCCATCCAGGTGTTTGCAGAGTTTTTAATTAAAATAGCTCTATAGCTGACACACTATTTCTTTTTCTTTTTCAAATTTTCAAATTTTTGTTTTTTTATTTGGCTGCACTGGGTCTTAGTTGAGGCATGTGGGATCTTTAGTTGCGTGTGTGAATTCCTAGTTGCTTCTTAGTTGTGGTGTGTGGATCCAGTTCCCTGACCAGGGGTCAAACCTCAGCCGCCTGCATTGGGAGCATGGAGTTTTAACCACTGGACCACCAGGGAAACCCCTGATGAACTGTTTCATTCCCAGCTCTATAATCCCACTTTCTTCAAGTGACTATGGTGGCGCCCTCCCCTGCTGATATTTATACTTTTTCTTTTTTCTGTTTCAGGGCTTTGTGGAGTGGTCGAAAGCTCCACAGCAAACGACCATAGTCTTGGTAGTGTGTGTGATCTTTCTGTTCCTGGTTTTAACTGGGATGCCCATGATGTTTCACATTTAACTATTAAGGTGACTCTTGTTTCGAAATAGATGCCCTGTGTCATGTTAAGGAAGAGCCCTGGTTTAAAAAATCAGGAATAGGTCTTGAATATTATCAAATGCCTTTGACACATCCATTGAGATGATTTTTCTTTTGTGTTTCACCTTTACATGTGTGGTTTCTGCATTGCTGTATTTCACTGAACTTAAGACATCTTGGATTGTAAATGTGTATTATTTTGTGTACTCCTGAGAAAGAAACAGAATACTGCTTAAATGTAAGACGTCGCCAAGTGGAAGATGCATCGTGACTTCAGAGAAGGTGAACACGTGCGCAGCATACACGCAATGAAACTGAGTCAATTTCTCCACTACAAGTCACCTTCGCAGTCTCAGGATGGTGGCGCACCTGGCTTTTCAGATACTGAATTCCGTCCCTTGATATTTTATGTAGGATTCTTGCCTCTATCTTCTTACATAGGATTGGTGCTATCTTTGTTTCATTTCAGTGTTGTGGCTAAGCTTGCACCATAGAAGGACTTGAGTAATGTGTGACCCTTTGCTGTGCTTTCGAGTACTTTCCGTAGTTCATGCTGTGCTCAGCCGTGTCTGGCTCTGCGGCCCCACGGACGATAGCCCACCGGGCTCCTCTGTCCATGAGTTTCCCAGGCGAGAGTACTGGAGTGGGTTGCCATTTCCTCCTCCAGGGGATCTTCCCGACTCAGGGATGGAATCTGGGTCCCCTGTGTTGGCAGGCAGATTCTTTATCACTGAGCCACCAGGGAAGCCCTTTCTTGAAGTTTAAGAAGCATTAATTCTTGACGTGTGGAAAGGATGCAGTAATGGGATCAGGTCCTAGCGTCACGGAAGGAAAACTTCACTGTGTTCTTAGATGCTTTCCATTTCTTCTCTTGTTTTCAGCTCATTAATCCTTTTTAACTCCATTAGTTTTGACGATTTATAGTATTCTTTTGTCCCCTAGACTATTCTTCATTCCACTGAATATTTTCCTCCAGATGATTAGCTTAATTATGAGCAGTATTTTTTGGCTTGGCCAAAAAGTTCGTTTGGGTTTTTCTATAAGATGGTAGAGAGAAACTTGAATGAATTTTTTGGCCAGCCCCAAATAATCAAACAAAATCTTCTCTTTATTTTGTTCTGTCTCCATTCTGCCTTTAATTTGTCAAAGTTTTATCTAGTTTATTATTATTTTTCTGAAGAACCAGCATTAGGATTTATGTCCATTATTTCTCTAGTTTATAATTTTTTTTCCTTTAACATGTATTGGGTTTATTTTTTTGTTGTTTCTATTCCTTGTCTCGATTTTTAAGTTGACCTCTTAATTTATTTATATTCTTTTTATAAAACTATTTGCTGTAATAGTGCATTTAATAATATAAACATACTTCTGATTATAGCCTTGGCCACATCTCAAAGTTGGATAATTCATGTTCTTGTTTATCTTGTTATTGCCTAAGTATTTTATTGCAGGGTTTCTAAAGAGTGATTTGAAACTCAGTGATGAGGTTTATCTAAAAAGAGGTTTCTTCCTGATTTACTGTGAGCGGAGAATGTGGCCTATCATGTCTGCCTTCAGAGCCTTTCAAGAAGCTTTTATCCTGGCCTAGAACATATCCAGTGTCTGTGTATGTTTCATGGACATTTAAGATGAATATATATTTTCTGTCTGTAGAATTCAAAACTACATGTTGGTTAAGTAACTTCGTCTTATCAATTACGTTGTTCAGAATCACATGCTATTTAATTTTGTCCAAACCTACATGTCAAAAACCAATAAGGCTATGTAAAAATCTGTTAGTGTTGATTCCATTTGTCAATCTATTTTTATTAATATATACTTTGTGTATTGAGCAGCTGTGTAATTTGGTGCATATACTGTAGCGTTGTTATGTCTTTGTCAACTAAGCAATACATGTAAAACACCCAGCACAGTGCCAAGTATAGAGCAGGCACTCAATAAAGGTTGGTTAAAATCTGATTCTTAATCCTTTGCCCAATAGGAAATGACTGTCTTTAACTAATGTAACCCCTTGCCTTAAATTTGACCTTGTCTAGCAGTGGTCGATATGACCACTGCTGTTTAAACTCCCTGTGTATGTGTATTTAGACTCTTTGAGTCATTTTGTTTCAATAGGACTTTGAGTGGTCTCTTTTGAGTTTGTTAGAGAAATTAGGGCAGGTAAAGTATTGGCTTCTCTCTCTCTCTCCATTCCTATCTCTGGCTGATTGTGTCCAACAAGCCACAACTGGCCCTTAAAAGAAACACATGCCTCAGCTGTTCAATTCTTTAGGATTTTATTTCTTGCAAACAGGAGAGTCTCATTTCATATGAACTCAAGCCAAGAGGGGCTTCCCTCATAGCTCAGTGGGTAAGGAATCTGCCTGCAATGCAGGGGACCCGGGTTCAGTTCCTGGGTTGGGAAGATCCCCTAGAGAAGGAAAAAATGGTCAACCCACTCCAGTATTCTTGCCTGGAGAATTCCATGGACTCCATGGAATTAGTAGCAGTTCTACGGGTTGCAAAGAGTCGGACACGACTGAAGCAACTTAGCACATGTAGCAAGCTAAGCGATTCATTATAGATTCACTACCAACGTTCAGGATGAAACTAGCTTCATTTAGAGTTGGAACGAACTGTTGCAATTGAAAATGTAAATAAGGACATATAAGCTGTATTAAACATGTTATTTGTAAAAGGTGTTGACCAGTGCAGAAAATAAAATGAAATATCTCTTTTCAGGAATTACATTTTTGGAGATGTTGGGAAAAGATTCCTGGGTCTTGAAAGAAAATTACTAGAAATACGCAGGGAGGTAGTACCTATCAGCAGAGAAGGCAACGACACCCACTTCAGTCCTCTTGCCTGGAAAACCCCATGGATGGAGGAGCCTGGCAGGCTGCAGTCCCTGGGGTGGTCAAGAGTCAGATATGACTTAGCACGCACAAGCAAGTATTCCTGGAACAGAAGCAATGAGTTGAAAGGGGAGACTTGTCCAAGTAAAAAACGGATTTATAAAGAAAGAAAATTAGAGCTGGTTTGTTGTTGTTGAGTCGCTCAGTTGTGTCCAACTCTTTGCAACCCCATGGATTATAGCCCGCCAAGCTCCTCTGTCCATGGGATTTCCCAGGTAAGAACACTGGAGTAGGTTGCCATTTCCTCCTCCAGGGATCTTCCCGACCCAGGGATGGAAGCGGCATCTCCTGCATTGCGGGCGGATTCTTTGCCACGGAGCCACCTGGGATAGGCCACAGAGCAGTGGTTATTTATTTCAGCTCTGTCACGTGGCAGGATGCTCATTTCATGGATGACGGAGGTCCCCACCGGCACCCGATGTGCCGTTCTTCACCCAAGAGCCAGGCGGATCCCATTAAACGTAATCAAGACCATTCGTAATCCACCCCCTCGAGGAAGTCAAAGGCAAAGTCCTCACCCTGGCCATCCAGCCCCACGCAGACTCGCCTGTGCCCCACCACCCCTCCCTTCTCTTCCCTGCTCCAGCCACACTGGCCCGCGGCCGTTTGGACAAGCCCGTCATGCCCCTGCCTCAGGACGCTGGCACTGGCTCTGCCTGCGGTGTTCTTCCCCACAGACGCCCCGTGGCTGCCTCGGGCCTTCAGGTAAGCCCTTCATCAGGACCCTGTGCGTGCTGTGGCCCGGGTGATGCCTTGAATGCAGGCAAGACTCAGAGCCTGCGGTTCCTGACCGGCTCAGGGCTGTTCTCTTGCTGTTTTGGCTGTGCTGGGTCTCTGTGGCTGAATGGCTTTCTCCAGCTGCAGGGAGCAGGGCTCCTCCCTAGCTGTGCTCGGCTGCTCGTTGCGGGGGCTCCTCTTGTGGAGCACGGGCTGCAGGGGTCTCAGCTCGTGGGCTCCAGCACACAGGCTTAGTTGCCCTGTGGGCTCTTCCCAGACTAGGGATCGAACCCATGTCTCCTGCATTAGAAAGGCAGATGTTTTAACCACTGGACCAGCAGGGAAGTCTGAGAGATTTTTCTCTTATTCATTCATCCACCTGGCATTTCTTCACGACCTCCTGTGTGCTTAGGCCTGTGAAGACAATGACGGGACAGAAAAAAAAATGCAGACAGATTCTCTCCTCCCAGGCCTTCCCTGGTTTCCTCTGTAGGGCTGAGAACTGAGAGGGCAGGTGGGCAGGGAGGTAGATGTGTCTCCATGTGTTTATCATCTGCTCCTCTCCACAAGCTAATATTCCCAGTTCACAGACAAGGCACAGTTCAGTTCCATCGCTCAGTCATATCCAACTCTGTGACCTCATGGACTGCAGCACACCAGGCCTCCCTGTCCGTCACCAACTCCTGGAGCTTGCTCAGACTCATGTGCATCAAGTCAGTGATGCCATCCAACCATCTCATCCTCTGTCGTCCCCTTCTCCTCCTGCCTTCAATCTTTCCCAGCATCAGGGTCTTTTCCAATGAGCCAGTTCTTTGCATCAGGTGGCCAAAGTGTTGGAGTTTCAGCTTCAGCATCAGTCCTTCCAATGAATATTCAGGACCGATTTCCCTTAGGATTGACTGGTTGGATCTCCTTGCAGTCCAAGGGACTCTCAAGAGTCTTCTCTAACACCACAGTTCAAAAGCATTGATTCTTTGGCACTCAGCTTTCTTTCTAGTCCAACTCTCACATTCATACATGACTACTGGAAAGACCATAGCTTTGACTAGACAGACCTTTGTTGGTCAAGTAATGTCTCTGCTTTTTGATATACTGTCTAGGCTGGTCAATAGCTTTTCTTCCAAGGAGCAAGCATCTTTTAATTTCATGGCTGCAGTCACCATCTGCAGAGATTTTGGCTTGACACATTTGTTTCTGATAAAACTAAATCACTTTTTCAACTTGTCTTGGTTGAAGACAACCAAGACAACCTTGTTGGGAGGAGCAAGGAAATCTGAATATGGACTGGTCACTGATACTAAGAAATTATTCATTTCATTGTGTGGTAATGATATTTTGGTTGTATAGAAGATACTTTATTTTTCCTTCTGTTTAGTACATGTTCTGCCAAAGTGAGCACAAATTGTTTTTTCCTTAGAGATGCAAGCTAAGGAAGTGAGATCATGTCTGTAATTTACTTGAAAATTGACCTGGAAAATAGACATATAGACAGATTTTCACAACCTATTTTAAAAGCAAATATATATTATAAAATATGGTGCATTTCCGTATTTTAAAAGTACAGGTATTATATGTTCATGTTACCAAAGTTATTTTTTTAAAATATTGAATATAGGCATGTACTATACTTTATACCTTTTTATATGATTGAAAATCTCATGATTTTTTTTAATGTGGACGTTCTCTTTTATGCAGAGAGTTCCCAGTTGCCCTATAACACAGGGCAATTCAGTGGTCGAATTTGGAAAAAAGGCTTCACTCACAACTGAAAACTATTTTTCAGCAATATTTTTTTTCTGGAGCTAAGCTAATCACAGTGAGGTTTAAATAATCATAAGGGATTCTTTATAATAAATCTTATGCCCTCCAAATAAATAAGGTTTTTAAAAAACCAAAACAATTTAGAGAAAAAAAAGATAAAAAATAGCTTATGCACAAACTGTGTGAAATGATAACATCCACCTGCCCTATCTAAGGGTCTCAGATGACAACGAATGAAAGCAAGCTGGAAAACCATGCCCTGTGGTACCATTTGTGTAGAAAGGAGCATTATATAACTTTTTAGAATATTTATGCATATAAACAAATATCCACATAAAATTTGCTTATACATGCATAGAATATTCTGGAAAGATGGCAGGCAACTGCTCAAAGTGGTTGCCTCGAGGGAGAGGCGCTTGCTGACTGGTGAGGAGAATATAGAGGTAAGATTATTACTTTTCTTCTTTTTACATTACGTGTGTGCGTGCGCACTCAGCTGCTCTCTTTGCGACCCCACAGACCGTAGCCCCCCAGGCCCCTCTGTCCATGGGATTCTCCAAGCAGGACTGTTGGAGTGGGTTGCCATTTCATCCTCCAGGGGATCTTCCCATGCCAGGAATGGAATCTGAGTCTCTTGTGTCTCCTGCAGTGGCAGGCGGGTTCTTTACCAGCTAAGCCACAAGGGAAGCCCTTATAAATTACAGACCGTATCAATTACTTAGAATAACTTTGTGGAGATCTTGCCGTCTGATTAGAGCGTGTGTGTGTGTTCGTCTCTAACTTTGTGGAGATCTTGCCGTCTGATTAGAGCTTGTGTGTGTGTTCGTCTCTGTCGCGTCCGACTCTCTGCGACCCCATAGACTGTAGCCCCCTAGGCTCCTCTGTCTGAGGAATTCTCCAGGCAAGAATACTGGAGCGGGTTGCCATTCTCTTCTCCAGGGGATCTTCCCAACCCAGGGATCGAACCCTGGTCTCCTAAACTAGACCTTGTACTCCTCCGTAATTCCTGGTAATGCAGGTGGTCTGCACTAGTGATTGGCATGTTTCACCCTTCCCTGTAGCCACACCATCGAGTCAGCCCTTCCCACACCACCCCGGGCTTGGCTATGGGGCCTGCTTTGACCAGTGGAACCAGAAGCAAGCGTGGTGCTATGCCCATGTCTCCCTACTCTCCTGAGTCCCAGCTCTGGCCTTGAGGGCTCAGCCGAGCCGTTCTGGGGCACCAGCCCACAGCCGACCACGGGAGCATAGCTGAGCCCCTCGCGTGTTACAGTGGGGTTTGAGTGGCGGTGCCCCCGCCGGAGTACGCCAGGAGCGAGGGTGCTGTGAGTTACCCCCCTTCTCCCTTCTCGGGCCCTGAACGGCCCTCTGTCCCCGTGGCGCTTCAGCTTCTCCCCACACAGGCCTGGTGGCCTCTTGCTGGCAAGTGCAGGGACAGCGCTGACCTGTGCAGGCCTCCCAGCTTCTGAAGCCTCCTCGCTCTCCTACTGATCTCTGCCGGCGGTCCCCGAGGTGTGAGCACCCTTCCTCTTCACACCTCCGTCCCGGGGGCACACACATCCGGTCCTGCTTCCTGCTTTTGTTTGGTTTTTGCCTGGGGTATTGCAGTCCATGGGGTCAGAGTCAGACCTGACTCACTGACTGAACAATAAAAGCTACGAGTCTTTCAGTTATGTTGCATGAATGACCTGTGTTCTACTCCATGCCTTAAAGCAAAAAGAATTAAGTCCTTTTACCCTCTTGCTTCCTGTTACCCAGTTCCACTCTGAACAGGCATCATACATATTCCGTGGACTAGCACCTTCTGTCCTCTTCCCAGGAAAAACCCATCCAGACCTTGGCTGACGAGCTGTCTTTCTGTTGCTGTGAAGGCCTGTTACTCTCACGGCACAAAACAGGATTAGGTGCCTTATACTGCTTTGCTCCATTTCACCCAATAACCACACTTTAATTATAATTCCACACTTTCTAAGGATCTTTGGCCTGAAACCCACTCAGTGCTAACCAGTTAGTTTTCCCTGGTAGACAGCTAAAGAACTTAATAAAATGAGAACACAATGCTGGTGGGGAACAACCGGGAATGAACATGAAACATTTTAGCTCCAGGAAGCAGAGCAGCGGGGACTCGGGAAGAATCTTAAAAGCTGTGGCCGAGAGATGGTTCATAGTCAGCGCCCTCCTGAGTCCCGAGGAGAGAGTGTCTGACTGGACTAACGTGAACTGTGTACCAGCTGGTGACGCAAAGAAAACCTCAGGGAATGACATCAGAACAGCTCAACCAACGCTGCTCGGGGAAGGAGTCTGTGCATGCGTGGTTTCTATTTGCATTGCAGACAAAAACAACAGATTTCATGTTAACTTTAGTTTGTGGATTTGTAACTATGCCATCATGTTACATAGTTACGAAAATTATTCTCAATAAACTACAAGGCATGGTTTTGTGAGTATAGAGATCCACCTCATTGTGTTCAGTGAGTGCGTAATAACCTACCGAACTGATTTTCCAAAATTAACTAATCAATTTACTACTGCTGGATATTTAAGCTGTTTCAAGTTTTTAAAAATTCTGTGGTAAATGTACATCTGTATTTTTGTGCCTGTGCTTTTTGAGAAGGTAAATCCCTAGAATTGCAGCAGTGATTAATTACACTTTATATGTTGATATGTAACACCATGTTAGTGTTAGTGCGCTAGTCACTCACTCATGTCTGACTCTGTGACCCCACAGACTGTAGCCCACCAGGCTCCTCTGTCCATGGGATTCTCCAGGCAAGAACACTGGAGTGGGTAGCCACTCCCATACTGTCTTCTAAAATGGCTTTCCACCTATTTACCCTCCCAACGTATAAAAAAAAGTCACATCTGTAACAGTACTGCATGTTATCCACAATGTGTGTGCTGGTTTGTGCTGGTGGTGAGAACTTTAAAAATTTCCATTTATCTGATCATTAGTGCAATTAAGATTTTCCTTGACTGTTAATTTCTTCATTTAGAGTTGCTGTCATACTGTGTATCTTATCTGACTTTGTCAGACTGTGTCTCTTACTTGCGGCTTTCAACATTTTTTTAACTTTTTGTTTTGTGTTGGGGTAGAGCCGATTAACAATCTTACGATAGTTTCAGGCGGACAGCAGAGAGACTCAGCCATATATATGCATGAATCCATTCTCCCCTGAACTCCCCTCCCATCCAGGCTGCCACGTAAAGCAACAGCACTTTTTATAAGGACTATATCCTTTGTAATATATGTATAAAATATGTCATGTCTTTTCACTTTGCATACAGTGTCTTATACCGTGGGAAAGTTTAAATTTTTCACATGGTCCTACCTAACACTGTCCCTCTTCATAACTTCTGGACTCTGTGTCCTGCTTACTAAAGCCTATCTGAACTCAAGGGGATAGAAACATTCTACATTCTCTTCTAAGAAATTTAATATTCTGTTTCCTATTATATCTTTATAATCTATATGGAAAGAACTTCTCTGTAAGGGGTGAAATGTGGATCTGACTTTATTTCCAGCTGGATAATTGTCAAGCACCATTTAAGTAATCTCTCTCTCCCACTGACACATGAAAAATAATTACTTTTGCAATTAACTAAATTCATGGTGATACAATCATTTTTCAGAAATTTCCTTGTGATGCTTCCCTATTTACCATACTACATTGATTTTCAGAACAAAACTGTCAGTGGAAAATTATCCTGAAAGAACTGTGACTGGAGTTGACTGAATGTACAGACATGTTTACAGTACTAGAAGTTCCATCTAGAAACACGGATCTCTATTTATTCATAACCTCTGTTCTCCTTAACAGAGGTTAGAAGTACTCCAAAATAATCCATTTCAATTTTTTTTTCTGACTCTAGAACAGCCTAATTATGATTCCTTGAAGGTTCAGCATTAATCTGTGAAACCAGGTGTCTTAAAAAAGGGTTAGACTATTCAAGTTCTCTGCTTCTTCTATTTTCAATATTAGGAATTTTTACTTTTTGCCTTTTCTAAATACAGTCTTGCATTATTCCCAGTTATTTTCTAATTCTTTTGTTCCAGTCTTATCCAGAGTTCTAGATACTTCCTAAAACATACTCTGTGTATTATATCATGTTGAATTTTCTCACCAACAAAGGAATACAGTCATATATGTGGTGGTATCAAGCTTTAAATGTGTTAATGTTTAAGCTTTAACACATGCTAATCCTCATCACTCACATTAAGTTTCAGTTTCAAAAACTGTTACGATCTCCAAGTACATATACTGTCTTCCAGAGTTCACTGCTTAAAAACAGCTTTCAAGCAGACTCTGAAGGATACTAAGCTATCACTACAGAGCATTTAGTCTGGGTCAGGCACTATGCTAAGCACTTGGTATGCATCAAGAAGTTTAAATTTTCACACCAAGGGTTTTAAGAGAGTCATATAATTACATTTACATTTGAACAGACCACTGTGGAAGTAGTGTGAAGAATGAACTTGGAGGGGACAAAAGAGGATGCAGAGAGATCAGTGTTTAGACAATTGGAATAGTCCAGGTGAGATGACTATGTTTTGGATTAGGGCAATGAGGATGGAAAGATGTGGATGAATTCCAAAAATACTCAGCAGACATATTCCCAGGACTTGGTGACACAGGGGATGGGGAAGAGCTGAGGGCCTGAGATGACTCTGTAGCATGAATTTTATGATGATGAGAAAGGTGCGCACTCTGTCTGAAGACTTCTCCGCATTCTTTACATTTGTAAGATCTCTCTCCAGTGTGGATTCTTCTATGTAGATTAAGGTGTCCAATCTGGCTGAAGGTTTTCCTACATTCCTTACACTGATATGGTTTTTCTCCAGAATGAACTCTCTGATGAACAGTAAGCGACTGTCGATGGCTAAAGGCTTTACCGCACGCGCTACATTCGTAAGGTTTCTCCCCTGTATGACGTCTTTGATGACAAGTAAGTGATGATTTTGTTCTGAATGCCTTCTCACATTCAACACATGCATAGGGCTTTTGGCCTGTGTGAAGTCTCAGATGCTGGGCACGGGATGAGCTGTCACTAAAAGCCTTCCCACATTCAGTACATTTGTAGGGTTTCTCTCCTGTGTGAACTCTCTGATGTTGGATAAGGCGGGTAGCCTGGCTGAAGGCTTTACCACATTCAGCACAATCATAAGGTTTCTCTCCAGTATGAATTTTATGGTGCTGTGCGAGGTGTGCCCTCTGGTTGAAGGCTTTCCCGCATTCCTTACATTCATAAGGTTTCTCTCCAGTGTGAATTCTCTGATGAGTAGCCAGCTGTGAACTGATGCTGAAAGCTTTCCCGCATTCCTTACATCCATAGGGTTTTTCTCCAGTATGGATCCTCAGATGGCTAGCAAGGTGTATGCTCTGCCTGAAGGCTTTTCCACATTCCCTGCATTGATAAGGCTTCTCTCCAGAATGCACTCTTTGGTGCTGGGTGAGTGAGGCATGATGGCTAAAGGCTTTCCCACAGATGTCACATTCATACGGTTTCTCTCCTGTGTGAATTCTCTGATGGACGGTCAGGGATGAGCCGTAGCTGAAAGTTTTCCCACACACATTACATTTGTAGGGTTTCTCTCCAGTATGAATTCTCCTGTGCTGAATAAGTCCTATGTGATCGCTGAAGGCCTTCCCACAGTCGATGCAGTCAAAGGGTTTCTCCCCAGTGTGATAATATCTCCAGTGACGGATAAGCGATGTGTTCTGCCTGAAAGCTTTCCCACATTCAATACACTCATAGGGTCGTTTGCCGGTGTGACACCTCCGATGTCGGGCAAAGGACGAGCCGTCACTGAAGGCCTTGCCGCACTCCTTGCATTTATACGGCTTCTCCCCGGTATGAGTCCTCTGATGCTGGGCAAGGTGGGCGGGCTGGCTGAAGGCTTTGCTACACTCCTTACATTCGTATGGTTTTTCTCCAGTATGAATTCTTTGATGTTGAATAAGATGTACATTTTGGCTGAAGGCTTTCCTACATTCCTTACATTCAAAGAGTTTCTCTCCAGTGTGTATTCTGTGGTGCTGGACAAGGTGTTGACTCTGGTTGAAGGCCTTCCCACAGTCCTTACACTCATATGGTTTCTCTCCAGTATGAATTCTCTGATGAACAGTAAGAGATGAGCTCTGGGTGAAGGTTTTCTCACATTCATTACATTTAAAAAGTTTCTTTCCTGCATAGACTTTCTTGTGTTTTAATACCATGGGATTTTTGGAAAAGTCTTTTTTATCTGACTTGTGATTATTATAAATATTCTCTTCTATACTGTGTAGAGGAACAAATTTCTCAGGTTTGTTATATCTGTGGTCTATTTCCACAGTGAGGGTTTCTTTAGGAGTGCTTCTTTCTTGCCTGATAAATGTCTCTTGGCTTAACAACTGCCTCTCAAAAAGATCTTCACATTTCCAATTTTCTCCAAAAGTAGGACACTCAAGTTCATAGCTTGCAATTCTCTCCATTAACATATCATCACACACAAACTGCTTCAGAGGTAATTCTTGTGTCTCATGTATAGATTCCCAATCTGAAAGATTCAAAAAACCAAATGTTTCCTTTATCATGGGCTATAACAAAGGAAACATTTAACACAGAAAAGGTGATTTGAAAATAATGAACTCCACAAAGTATATTATGCACAGGCATTTCAACTGAAAAAAAATGTAAGCAGACCCCAGAGAATGAGAGCTCATAGAAGAACATGGAAACGGTGATTTAGCAAATTAAATGTAGGATAACAGAGTCCTGAAGGTGTAGGTTGCAATGGTAGTGATATTTTATGCCTGTATTAACGTAACAGGCTATACATGAAATTCTCTTCCTCTGTTCTCCCCCTCTTCTAGGAGACTTGCATATACAGCCAGGCTAACTTTCTTAAAAAACAAATACTACCACATAACTCTGCCACTCAAAAATCTCTGTAGATTACCTGAAACCATAAACACCTTATGCTTTGTGACTTCTCTTGGAGTTTAGGCAAAATCCTAGAGTCATCTCTTCATAATCAGCCATTCTTCCCATAAGCCATTCCCATGTATTTTAATAAAGTAAATGGTCTTCATTTCTCCTAGATCCCTGAACTTAAGAGTGCATATTAAGGGTTTTTTGCATTCATCATCTTTCTTTCACCAGCCTAGGAAAACTATCACATCTTAATAGGGTTCTGCCATGTATCTTTTTGTAGAAACTAGTCTTACAGAGATATGTGGGTTGGTATCACTACTATTAATTAAATGCTTATTTACTACCACATCACTACCTTTCTCACCTGGTGAGATAGAATATAAGCTTTCTGGAAGAAATAAATGAGCCTTATATACTACTACTAAGTCACCTAATGTATATCACAGGAACTCAGGCATAAGTAAGAAATTCTTGATAAATCTATAAAGAAGAAATGTGAACAGAAGAGGTGACACTAAGAGAAAACTTGAGGGAAGAGGTGATATCAAGAAATATAATAACAAATTACTAATTAAAAAAAAAGAAATATAATAACAAATTACTAACTGACCCAATGCTCCCTAAGAAGGTTTCTACTACATGTCAAGCATGAGGAACACTAAAGTGAAGACAGCTGTTCTAGAGAAGTACAGAAACTTATGAGGAAGACAAGGCCAACAAAGCAAGTAATTTGAGAAGAAAATATATCAAAAATGAATCCATGTGGTAAAAAAGTAAAACTAGTATAAAAGTTCAGAGATGGGAGGGATCAAATCTACCAAAGCAATTAAGAAACACTGAGGCATTAACAAGCTTTCTCCCCAGGTCATTCATGGTATCAGGAACACCCAAACTTCAATAATTCTAGAACTGGGTCCATGAGAGCTCAAGAAACCAATTCCGCGTGGTTTTTCTTCTGTAGATGGACTGAGGGGAGCAATCCTAGAAGGAGAAAAGCAGAGAGATGACAGTGTCATCTGCTCCTCCCTCAACTCACTCTCTGTCGTGTGAAGGCTGTCTTCATTCCAGCCTCCCACGGAGGCCGTGGCTGTCCCTTGCCTTTCTGGCTTTTCTCAACATGGATGCTGAGCTATCTTAATCAGTGAACAGTACTTAAAGCCATACTGTGACTCAATGTCCTACCAGATTTACAACAGGCTTCTTTATCCCCTTTCCCTCTTCCTGTATCTGTTCTTCACATGGACAGTTATTACCTCTTATCAGGAAAGTTCCTCTTTCTGTTTTCCTCTTTAAGGCAGATAGTAGCTTCCTACATAACCAAACTATAAAGCGTGTCTAAACCGAGCTTATTTCCCTTCTAATATTTGGAGGATCCTGGAAGAATAGGGCCACATCATCCCCGAATGTAAAGATCAAGCACTGTTACAGAAGTGAAGGAATTTAATAAAGGCATAATTATCATGTGTGATTCCAACATTCCGTTGCCTTTGTGAAATTCAGATTCAGCAGGGGGAGGCAAAAAATAAGCACACACCCCCAAAACAAGTTAATTACGGGCTCTCCTGAGTATTACAAAGAAAATAAACAGTGGCTTCATAGACCATACTTGGGTTGGAATAGGGTAATGTTCATTATATGAGGTGGTTAGGAAGGTCTCCAATGAGATTATTTTTGAGCTCTGGCCTGAGCTCTGGCATAGACAGAAAGCCAAGAGAAGAGCATTCTAGGCAGAGAAAACAGGAAAAACAAAAGCCTGAGTGGGAAAGAGCTTGCGAGTTCAGAAAAGGCGACCTATGGGCTAGAGCAATGCTTTTCAACTGTACATCAGGCACTTGTTGAAAATGACAATCCTAAGACACTGCCTATGATCCAGAGGGAATCAGACTTGGAACTCAGACTGCCTCTAACCTCATCTGGTCTCTCACAGCTTAGAGACTCAGGATGTGGGAATACCTGTAACACATATGTAACATACCTTGATACCTTGCATCATGAAGAAAACTCTGGGCTAAAGTACAGTGAAAAGGCTAAAACATAATGGAGGATAAGGCTGGAAAATTAAGGAGGAGATGGTAGGATTTGGATTTTTCCTATTTGCAACAGGAAAGCAAAAAACGATTTAAAGCAGCAGGGTATGTTATGATCTGCATGCAGCATCTAATTTTGGAGTTAAGATGTAAAAAACTTAGAAGCTTATGTTAAGTCAGTATGTCGAAAGGAAAGAGGGGATGGGAAGGAGCTGGATAAAGATTTTTGCAAAATGAGTTTTTAGAAGAGACTGAAGATTGCTGGGAGAAATAACAATCTCAGATATGCCAGTGATACCACTGTAATGGCAGAAAGCAAAAAGAAACTAAAGAGCCTCTTGATGAGGGTGAAAGAGGAGAGTGAAAAACCTGGTTTGAAACTCAACTTTCAAAAAACTATGATCATGACATCCAGTCCCATAATTTCATGGCAAACAGAAGGGGAAAAGGTGGAAACAGTGACAGATTTTATTTTCTTGGGCTCCAAAATCACTGCAGACTGTGACTGCAGCCATGAAATTAAAAGACACTTGCTCCTGGGAAGGAAAGCTATGCTAAACCTAGACAGCATATTAAAAGACAGAGACATCACTTTGCTGATAAAGGTCCGTATAGTCCAAGCTATTGTTTTTCCAGTAGTCACGTACGGATGTGAGAGTTGGACTATAAAGAAAGCTGAGGGCGAAAGAGTTGATGCTTTTGAGCTGTGGTGTTGGAGAAGACTCTTGAGAGTTCGTTGGACTGCAAGATCCAACCNCAAGTTATCTGTTAAGGTGATTTAGCTGTGGGATTATTTAGTTTGTAGCAAGGTTGCCAATACTTTGGCCACCTGATGCAAAGAGCCAACTCACTGGAAAAGACCCTGATGCTGGGAAGGACTGAAGGCAAAAGGAGAAGGGGGCAGCAGAGGATGAGATGGTTGGATAACATCACCAGCTCAGTGGACATGAATGGGGCCAACTCTAGGAGGCAGTGAAGGACACGGGGACCTGGCATGCTACAGTCCAGGGGTCAGAGTCAGAAAAGACTGAGCAACTGAAAAACAACAAGCAGAAGAGAAGGTGTCTGGGGAGCTCATGCTAAGAAGTCAACTTTCAGTTTTCTCCCAGGTTTGGAAGCCTTGACAAGAGTTTCTTTTTTTCCTAATTAATTTTATTGGAGGATAATTACAATATTGTGATAGTTTTTTGCCATACATCAACATGAACTGGCCACAGGTATACATGTGTCCCCCCTTCTACCCCCTCCCACCTCCCTCCCACCCTAGCCCTCTGGGTTGTCCCAGAGCACCAGCTTTGGGTGCCCTTCTTTGAGAAGAGTTTCTAAGAAGCATAAGAAAGGAGGAAAGATCACCTGTACAATGGCTGAGTCATTGCCTAGAAAGGATTCCCCTCCGGTTCTCCCACACTCACCGGGGAATGGGCTTCTCATCTCATTCTCCATCATCGTCCAGGGCTCCTTCCCTTGCTCCAATAAGGAGATGACATATGGCTTAGAGATACAAAGTCCTGCATGCAGAAAAAGATATGAAAATGGGTCATGGTTTGGACATTTCAGCTGGTCCCTTAATTCTGATGGCATGACATGACAGTAATGAATAGTTCAAGGAGTGACAGACTATATAAAGCTTCTGGGGTAGCTTAGTGGGGCTGCCAACAGTCAATCCTATAAAAGTGGAATCATTTTCTAAGAGACTGGAGGCAGAAATTCAGCCCAGCATTTTTAGAAGATCATTGGACAGCAGTAAGTGAGGTAATATAAAGGACCCCTAGAGACAGCTGGGAGTTTGAGTTAACTGTCTGATTAAAAAACAAAGTCAGAGGAACATATAACAGAATCCTGAAACTCTATAATGTATTATAGTGTCCAAGAAAAAAATCTAATTACTCCCTAAAAAGTAGAAAAAGTGAATCATACTCAGAAAATAAGGCAATTAATGGAGACCCAACCTGTGATAACACAGATGCTGGAATCAGTAGACTAGGATTTTAAAACAGCTATTATATCTATATTCAAGAATATAAAGGAAAATATACTTGTAATACTCTTGGCAGCAAAATAGAAATTAGAAAAAAGAACCAAGTAAAAAGTCTAGAATTGAAAAATACAGTATCTGAAATTTAAAAATTCACTAGATAGGCTTAACAAGACATTGAAGAGGACAGAGAAAGCAGCAGTGAACTTGAAAATGAATCAACAGAAATTATCTGACAGAGAAAAAAGATTTTTTAAAGTGAACACATCCTTAGTTACCTAAGGCACAATATCCAAGTTTCTAATATGTGTGCAACTGGAATCCCAGAAGGAGAAGAGAGAGTAGAAAAAAATTAAATAATGATCAAACATTTCTCAAATTTGGTGAAAGACATACATTTAGTCTCACAGCATTTAGTGAACCACAAGCAAGCAGGATAAAAGGGGCCTCTGGACAAGGGGGAGCTACACTAGCCGATGAGGTGGCCCTAGGGCTGAGAAGGGTGTTAGTTTCCTGAAGAACATCTAAAGCAATTTTCAGCATGTGCCTCACTAGTTCACTTTCTGCAAGTTCATAAAAATATACAATTTTAAAGCAATATTCTGAATTCATAACGATCCGGCTATATTCTTGGTGAACTGTTATGCCGGTAACAATACTGTAGGACAGAAAACAAGGGAGCACAGGAGACCAGTGAGGGTCACAGTGTGCCCCGTGCTCCCAACTGACTAACGGACACGCTCATGAAATATCTGATACACACCAAAACCACTGACTCAGCCTGAAATGGTCACCAGTTCCTGAACATCCTCTTCATCTTCCAGATTAAATTCTCATCGACACACAGTAAATTAAAAAAAAAAGTAAAGAGTCCCTAACGGTACTTCTGAATTATGCAGAGGGGGAAAAGATCCTCACCCAGTGATACCAGGCTCTGATAGTTCTCCAGCATCATACTCCTGTATAAGCCTCTCTGAGCAGGGCTCAGCCATCCCCACTCCTCCTGGGAGAAGTCTACTGCCACATCCTTGAATGTCACCAGGTCCTGAAATAACACAAAGACCTTCTGGGTCAAGTGATGCTCATGTGCACACGTGACTTCAAGCTTAAGCATTAAGTTGGCCCTACATTATGTGAGAAATAGCCCATAGAGGAGAAGAACCTTAAACATACAATATTAAATAGTTCTTACTGAAGCTGCTAAATTGCACTGTATACAATGGTGCCAATCCATTTCTCTCGTGTGTGCGAGTATGTGCGCTCAGCTCTGTCTGACTCTTTGCCACTCCACGGACTAGAGCCCGCTAGGCTCATCTGTGCATGGGATTTTTCAGGCCTGGGGAAATAGACAGATGGCCACAGGGCAGTAAACAAGGGCTTCGAGGAAGGATGTGTATCTGTGGTTGAACCTTCAAAAACAACAAAAAAGAATATTCAAGTTGATATTATGGAAATGATACTCTATGGGATCCTAGTGTTTTAAGGAGAAGAGGCACTGAACTGACATGCCTGGAATTGTTTTGTTGACAGAATAAAAAGTATATTTAGAGTGCAGTTTTTTTGGGGGGGGGGACGGGATTGCCGAGCCTCATGGCTTGTGTGATCTTAGTTTCCTAACCAGGGATCGAACCCAGTCCCAGTACTGAAAGCACAGAGTCCTAACCACTGGAATGCCAGGGAATTCCGCTAGAATGCAACTGTTTTTTAATGCTGTACCATTAAAATTAATTAGCATGTCATGCCACGCCTCAACATGAGACATCACCCAGTGCAGGACTACAACACATTCAAGTTGGGTACTAAATGTGAGTACAACAAACCAGTATGTATTTAGACAATGTCGAAATGAAACCAAAAATAGTTATTTTCAGTTTCTTAAAGACAGTGCCCAGTTATAATCAACAGCAGATTGAGAGAGTTTTCTTTTTTTTTTTTTTGGTCAATTTTGAGAGGTTTGCAGGTTTTTTTTTTAATTGAGATATAGTTGACAAACAATATTATATAAGTTTCAGGTATACAATATAGAGTTCACAATTTTTAAAGGTTATACTCCATTTACAGTTATTGTAAAATATTGGCTATATTTACCTGTGTTCTATAATATATCCTTGTAGCTTATTTTACACATAATAGTTTATACCTCTCAATTTCCTAACCCTATCTTGTCTCCTCTTCCCCTCCAGTAACCACTACTTTGATTTCGGTCTCTGTGAGAGTTGTGAGAAATTTTTTAAAGTGTTATGGGCATTTTCATCTTCACATTTATTCCCAGTGAAAATACTAAAACTCTTTGTAATGCTCAGTGTTGTCATTTACCACAACATCTATGGAACTAGAGGGTGTTATCTAAGTGAAATAAGTCATACAAAGACAGACAAATACTGGATGATCTCACTTAACTGCACAATTTGAAAACACAAAACAGAAACTAACTTTGGATAGACGCACAGCTAGGACTGGTAGTTGCCGATGGAGAGGGGAGACCAGCATGGAGAAGTGGAACAGAAGGAGTGATCTTGCAGCGCAGAGACCTGGTACCGCCTCAACTAGGCGCGCCAAGTACAACAAGTCACGCGGACAGCATGAGCCCTTGATGTGTAATACATGATGAAAATGGAACTCTGTGATCTTCCTTCTGAAAACATGTTAGTCCAGTCTGATCAGAGAAAAACATCAAATTGGAGAGACGGTCTACAAAATACCTGAGAACCTTTCAAAACTGACAAGGTCTTCAAAAAGAAGGAAAATATGAGAAACTGTCACGTAAAAGGAGACAGAACTACTAAACATAATGTGGTACCCTGGATAGGACCCTGGAACAGAAAAAGGACAGTAAGTGAAAACTAAGGCAATGTGAACAAAGCATGGACTTAATAATAATCTGTCAATGTTGGCTCATTAAGGGCTTCCTGGTAGCTCTGCTGGTAAAGAATCCGCCTGCAGTGCAGGAGATCCTGGCTCGATTCCCGGGTGGGGAAGTTCCCCTGGAGAAGGGACAGGCTGCCCACTGAGGATTCTTGGGCTTCCCTGGTGGCTCAGGCTGTAAAGAATCCGCCTGCAATGCGGGAGACCTGGGTTTGATCCCTGGGATGGGAAGATCTCCTGGAGGAGGGCATGGCAACCCACTCCAGTATTCTTGCCTGGAGAATCCCCATGGACAGAGAAGCCTGGCAGGCTACAGTCCATGGGGTCAAAAAGAGTCAGACATGACTGAGCAACTAAGCATAGCACACATGAAACTAATTTAAGATGTTAGAAACTGGGGAAGCAGAGTGTGATGCATATGCATACTCCCTGCTATCTGCAAATTTTCTATCATAAAAAAAAAAAGTTTATCTGTAAAAAATAAGGGGAGTGCTCTCTGGGAGAGGTGGGAGCCAGGCCCTGAGATAAGACTGTTGTTGTTCAGTCGCTGTCATGTCCAACTCTGCGCCTCTATGGACTGCAGCACACAGGGCTTCCCTGTCTTCACTGCCTCCTGGAGTTTTGCTCAAACTCACAGCCATCGAGTAGATGATGCTATTAACCAACTCATTCTCTGCTGCCCCTTCTCCTTTTGCCTTCAATCTTTCCCAGCTTTGGGGTCTTTTCCAAAGACCATCAGTCAGGGGATTTTCATAAGGAAAACAGCTTTACTAAGTCCCAAACAGTAAGACTGCCTTAGGAAGAGAAAGGAAATAACTAACCTGGGCTATGGCTTTCACTAGTTCAACTGTCATTGTCACGTTTTCCTGGCTTCTCTCTTGGAAAACAGCACTGTCCTGGGAGGGGAAGGCTGGAGAAGGAAAAGGAGAGTGCGAAGATGAGGCCTTCTCTGCACTCCCAGGATCACCAGTGTGTCTTCCCCTTCCTCCTCCCAGCCTCCTTTGGTTTCACTGCCCACATAAGGGGGGGATTACAGGCAACCAATGGTGATGAGGGGTCTGATTTTTAACTCTTTCTCTTAAGCTCGAGGTCCTAAATTTGATCTTTTCTAAAAGCTGCATTCCTGTTCTTTGGTCTTATTATGAATAAAACTAATGAGATGTGCTGGATACTCTGCGTACATTACCTCCTCTCACTTTATTTTAAAAACTAATCCCATGAAATTGTTGTTTTCTCTATTTTGTAGGTAAAGGTGGACTCTTTCCTTCCCACATCTCCGCTTCATGCTTTGATAGTCTACAGTTTGAAAATGTGACTCCTGAATGCCATCAGAGGACAGGGTTATCCTCCTCCTGCCAAACCTTTGCTTTCCTCCATGACAATGGATCCTTTGGCACCCAATTCTGCCCCCTTCCCTCTCATCTTTGTCCTCAACTCCTTGGTTTCCCCTCCTTTCTGTCACCCAGCACTGAGCGTGTCTCCTGCTCCAATCGGGAGCTCCAGGTACCCCACCTCTTGCTTCTCAGTGGAACTCTTGGGACTGAAAGCAGGGAATTCTACCCCAGGATTCTTATCCTGGCAATACACAATTCCATAAATCAACATGCACAAGGCGGCCAAAGTTATCAACCTTCCAAGCAGTCTCCCCCCAAACACCACAGTCACACAGGCGCTGTTACAACCACACAGGGTGATACACAGACACTGACAGAAAGTCTCACATAACCCTGATCACACGAAGGACAGAGTCACAAGCATCCAGTGGAAGGCACATTATTGCAGTCACACCACCGCCTCAGAGAGGTCATGTACACGCACACATGGCGGTCACAAACATCACACACACAACCCCAGTCTCAATCTCTCACACACCCACGGCTCACTGTCCCTTCACAGAGGCTGCATTTGCAAACCTCGGGGTGGCGAACCTCGGGGTTCAGTCTCTCTCCTACTCACTTTGGTCTCACACATTGGTTTTCCTCTCTCTCTCACACACAGTCTCAAAGGTCTCTGTTTCTGAGACAGGTGGATTTCTCGCGCACATACACAAACACTGCAGTTGCTACCTCGAACACGCGCACACACAATACACACTGGTCTCCCTCACACGCGAACACACAGGCACTGTCACACAATCTCACGCGCCGGACACACGTACTGCAGTCTCGCACGCACGCACACACACACACACACCACGCACGCTCTCAGACACACACACACACACACACACACCCACGATCTGTCTCAGCCTCACACACACACAATCTCACGCACCGGACACACGTACTGCAGCCTTGCACGCTCTCAGCCTCACACACACACACACACACCACCCCCCACGATCTCTCAGCCTCTCCCGGCACTGTCACACACACACACGCGCGCGCTCTCAGTCTCTCTCACACACACACACACTCACACGCTCTCACACACACACACCCTCTCCCCGCCACGATCTCTCAGCCTCTCCTGGGGCACGCTCTCAGTCACNCACACACACACACACACACACACACACACACCGCCCCCCACGATCTCTCAGCCTCTCCCGGGGCACGCTCTCAGTCACACACACACGCGCTCTCAGTCTCTCACACACACACGCTCTCAGTCACACACACACCCGCTCTCAGTCTCTCACACACTCACACACACTCACACACGCACACCCCCCACGATCTCTCAGCCTCTCCCGGGGCCCCACGCGCTGGCTGACCTCACACACCCGTCTCGAACACTCACACCAGCACCCCCCGGTCGCACGCTCTGGACGTTCACAGCCCAGTCCTGCCTCTCGCACCCACACACCCCGATCCAGCCGCTCCAAACGCGGATCCCGGTCCGAGCCGCAGCCTCGGCGCACCCGCACGGGCCTCTGGGAAATGTAGTCCGCCCGGCAGCGACGGCGCAACGGCGCCCAGGCCGGGGCTCCACGGCCGGGCTCAGAGCCGCCCGCCTCGGCGGCCCTGCCTGGCCCTCGGGCTCAGACACTCGACCACCCTGACCAACCCACGAGCCTCCCCCCGGAAGCCAGCCGCCCTCACCCGAAGGACTTCGGCAGCTGACGCCCGGGAGACCAGTGCCCAGGCGCCGAACCTCCCCAGGTGGGCGAGCAGTCAGGAGCAAGGGGCGGAGATAGGGCGTGGCTTAGTCGAGGGGGCGTGCTCTTAGGCTGTTGAGGAGAGGCGGAACCTTAGCGTCCGAAGGGGAGGGCCTGCGCACGTACGTAACAGCGCCTGAGGGGCGGGGTCCAGGATACCAGAGGCGGGACTACGCTCGAGGGGCGGGGCCCGAGGGTTCAGGGGCGTGGCGCGGCTGGGAGCGAGTGTACGCAGGCGCATAGAATGCGAACTCCCCCTCCCTTCTCCTGGAAACCAGAAGCGTCCGTAGTTACGGGAACGGACAGTCCTCTGTGAGCTCTGGTGTGCACCTGTGATGTCCCGCTGTCTGTGTCCGAATGACCGCGGTGTCGTTCTAGTGCGGTCCTCTGAGCCTGCTCGTGGGAGCGTGATTTTCTTCCTGTGTTAAGTTTTGGGACCGTAAGATCAGCGAGGGAACCCCTGCTGGGCTCTATCACTTGTTATTACACCAAGTTAGTACATTTCTCACTTGCAGAATGGAAATGTCGTTATTATCACTCTTCAGAAAGTATTTTCTTTGGAACCTGCACTGGTGTTGAACCCCATTCTGCCCCTGATCAGAGTGGAAATGGCCCGTGGTATGAGATATTAAGAAAATAGTAGAATTAGGTAGCTGACTTGGAAATTGAAGCAAATAAGGAAAAACCTAAAGGAAATCAATTCTCAATATTCATTAGAAGGACTGATGTTGAAGCTCCAATACTGTGGTCACTTGATGCAAAGAGCCAACTCATTAGAAAGGGCCCTGATGCTGGGAAAGATTGACAGCAGGAGGAGAAGGGGATGACAGCGGACGAGATGGTTGGATGTCATCACTGACTCAGTGGACATGAGTTTGAGCAAGCTCCTGGAGATGGTGAAGGACAGAGAAGCCTGGCGTGCTGCAGTCCATTGGGTCACAAAGAGTTGGACGTGACTAAGCAACTGAACAACAACAAAGGAAAAGCCATTCAGGGGGATACAGCAGAGAAAAAACCCACAAAACTCCCCACCCTCTAAGATCTTACTTTCAAGTGGATGGAAACAAGAGAATGAGTAAAACAGTGTACTGAATGATGAGAAAGGCTGTGGAGAAATAGAAAACAGGGAAGAATAGAGAGTAGAGAAAATGAGAATATTTACTGTTGAAAAATGAATAGTCAGGGCACTGAAGTCTTTAATCTTCATGCTGCTTTTCATCCTGAATTTCAACATTGGCTCATTTAGGAGTAATTCTTTACATGGACTCTACTGTTATATTCTCAGTGGTAAAGAATCTGCCTGCCTAAGGAGACGGTGGTTTGATCCCTGGGTTGGGAAGATCCCCTGAAGGAGGAAATGGCAACCCACTCCAGTATTCTTGCCTGGGAAATCCCACAGGAGGAGGAAGCTGGCGGGCTACAGTCCATGGGGTTGAAAAAGAATCGGACATGACTTGAGACTAAACAACAATGAGTATGTATTTTTCTTCTCTACACTGGTGCATGCGTTTTATAAATGCTTTTATATATGCACTGAAAAGAAAAAAGAAAAAAAATCCTGTGTGCTCAGTTTAGGAATATCCCCTAACATCTATTAATATGATACCCCTTATATCTGTCCTAGTGCTGTTCCTTTGTGTCAGTCTCTTGATTCTTGTTCAAAGGTGATAGGTGCAGTGATGAGATCACTAAAATACAGCAGCTGTAGGAGGAAGTGTGGGAGAAAATTCAGAAAAGACCGCTGGTTGGGTAATTCGAAGCTAAACCTGTGACCAAATCTGGGCACCATTTTTCAGATGTAAAGTATTAGGTCATGGCTGTTTGTTTTTTCACACTTTGCAACATCCAAGCCCCTCCCCCCACCCCTTGCTAACGCTGTGATCTTGGTGGCACATGTGTCTCTCCCATCAGGACAGAAGCCGAAGCCAAGAGGTGATCTCTTGGCCTCATCTTTGGCTGTCAGGACACCTGCACTGTAAACTTGGTTTCAGGGCATTAAATGTCCGGGCACCCAGACTCAGGGCCAGTAAAGTCACTTGTGCAGTGCTGCTGTTTATTAGTGATGGCAGCGGAGCTGGATGCAGGTAGGAGGCTAGAGTTCTCCAGATTGCAGGACAATGGTTTCATGTTCTGCTTTTAACTTGCTTTGCTTCCTCCCTGTCTTCAGTTATTCCATCCAAAGAGCACGTTAACAAATCGTTTTCATTGGAGCACAGGTGATTCACAATATTGTGTTGGTGTCAGGTGTGCAGCAAGGTGAGTCGGTTATGCATACACAAATATCTGCTCTTTTTCAGATTCATTTCCCATTGTTGTTGTTCAGTCACTAAGTTGTGCTCCATTTTTTGAGACCCCATGGAGTGCAGCACACCAGGCTGCTCTGTCCTTCACTGTCTCCGGGAGTTTGCTCAAATTCACGTCCCTATTTGCTCAAATAGTCAGTGATACTGTCCAACCCTCTCATCCTCTGCTGCCCCCTTCTCCTCCTGCCCTCAATCTTTCCAGGTATCAGGGTCTTTCCCAACGCATCAGCTTTTTGCATCAGGTGGCCGAAGTACTGGAGCTTCAGCATCAGTCCTTCCAGTGAATATCTGAGGTTGATTTCCTGTAGGATTGACTGGTTTGATCTCCTTGCAGTCCTCTCAAGAGTCTTTTCCAACACCAGAATTAGAAAGCATCAGTTCGTCAATGCTCAGGCTTCCCGGTGGTTCAGACAGTAAAGAATCTGTGTGCAATGCAGGAAACCCAGGTTTGATCCCTGGGTTGGGAAGATCCCCTGGAGAAGGGAATAGCTACCCAATCCAGTATTCTTGCCTGGGGAAGACTATAGATCGAGGACAGAATTCCATGGGCAGCCTTCTTTATGGTCCAAGTCTCACATCTGTACACAACTACTGGAAAAACCATAGCTGTATTTCCTTTGTAGCTTATTACAAAACATTGAGTCTAGTTCCCTGTGCTATACAGTAGGTCCTGGTTCATTATCTATTTTTCAGTGAGCTCCTGAGACCTTGAGAATAAGCTGCTTTTCTAAGAGTCAGAGTCAACTGAGGCTGCTCATTTTCAAGATCTTGACTGATGGTTAGGTAACTGGAATAATAGCATTTTCGAGTCTGGTTGGCTTTGGCCAGTACTCTCCCATATGAATTTGCTGATGCCGACTAAGGTGCGACCTGCACCTGAAGGCCTTCCCACACTCGTGGCAACTGTAGGGCTTTTCCCCGGTGTGAATCCTCTTATGCTGACAGAGCGAGGAGGATGTGCTGAAGGCCTTCCCACACGCACCACATCTGAAGGGCTTCACTCCATTGTGAGTCCTGTCGTGCGTCACCAGCGAGGAGTGATTGTTGAAGGTCTTCCCGCACACCCGACACTCATAGGGTCTCTCTCCTGTGTGACTCCGCCTGTGGACAGTGAAATGGGACCTGCAGGTGAAGGCCCGGCCGCATTCCTGACACGTGTAGGGCTTCTCTCCGGTGTGCGTCCTCTGGTGCTGAGTGAGCTGCACGAGGCGGCAGAAGGCCTTCGGGCAGTCCTCACACTGATAGGGCTTCTCTCCGGTGTGCGTCCTCTGGTGCTCCGTCAGGGAGGACAGCCGGATGAAGGACTTGGTGCACTTGCTGCATCTGTAGGGCTTGTCTTCAGAGTGGATCTTCTGGTGTCTGAGGAGCTGGGCGCTCTGGGTGAAGGCTCTGCCACAGGCCTTGCACTTGAAGGGTTTTTCTCCGCTGTGGATTCTCTGGTGGTCCGCGAGGGCGGAGGGGCGGCTGAAGGCCTTCCCACACTCGCTGCAGCCGTGGAACTTCTCTCCGGTGTGGACGATCTGGTGCTGGGTGAGGTGTGTCACCTGGCTGAAGGCCCGTGTGCACTGCCCGCAGGCGTAGGGCTTCTCACCGGTGTGGGTGCGCTGGTGTTGGGCGAGGTGGGCCTTCTGGTTGAAGGCTTTGCCGCATTTGCTGCACTGATAGGGTCTCTCTCCTGTGTGGATCCTCTGGTGCTGGATGAGAGTTG